CTCTTTTTAAATATTATAAAAGATATCATAAATCATAAAAAAGAATTATTCTTTTACGACAAATTCGACAATTATCAACTTTCAAATAAGTTATATACATGTAATTTATTATACAACAATATAGCAATTCAAATAGAGAAAATTTTTATAATTATTATCACTAACAATGCCTAAGAAATGATAATAAATAACAATTTTGTGACAATAACTGACTTGGAACATGTGTAAATCATGTTTTTTTTTTAAACTAAACTCTATTATCACTCTACACAAGGATTTTTATGAATCAAAAGCGAGCATTTGCGCGAGTATATATGCATATAACGTATATTACCTTGACACACTTCTGAAATTAAAGGGATGCATGTACGGATAACAAATACTTGGACTCCTTTATTATCTACGATACAGAATATTTTTGTAATTATACAAAGACAAGAGACGATTTGAATCCAAGATTTCATTGCTCATAGTTATTAGATCAATAAATGTAATGAAATCTCCTCCTTTTTCCTAGAATATTAAATTTAATTATTAAATATTACGTTAAAAAATATCGTGATAATTGCTGAATTGATTACTATCTATCTTGAATGCAATCAAATTACATTTAAGTATTATGAATATTACAATATTTCAAACAACGTATTCGTTTTAATAATTTTTTAATTTATTATGAATTAAAAAATCATACGAATGAAATATGAAAAAAGTATTTAATATTGGAGAAAAAGTACCGTAAAAATCGTTGAAAATATTAGTGATGAAAGGTAATATGAATATCATGATGTTTCAAATGACAATTATCGCGAATAATATAGAAAATATTAATAATACGTAATATTTTACCATTTTTAAAAAAAAGATGAAAATAATTTAGAAATTATTGAAAACATTTGAAAAGAAAATGAATTTTAAGATAATTTAAAATTACAATTATTAAAAATAATTTTTTATATCAATTTTTAAATTTTTATTACACAAATTTAAATGGAACGATAAATATCAGAAAAATTGTCGAAAATATAAATTCAACATTTAAAACAGAGAATTTAAATGTCAAAAACATTCAACGTTGATTTATGAAATTCAAAGAGGAATGAGTTTTATTAATAAATGAACACAGTGGACAATGTCATTAATGATAATATTTGTAGAAATATGAATAAGTGGTGTATATATCTTATAATAATCAATAGGAAAAATAACGTTCCATGTGAAATTTTATTATTATTCTTTGATGTTTTTTCACAAAGAAATTAAGAAAAGTAGAAAAATTTTGACTTAATCGCATATATTATCAATGATAACAATGATTAATGCTTATAAAAAGTTAATAGAATTTCCGTGGAAATTCTTTTGATTGAAAATGTTTTGTAGAAGGATTTTTTGTAGAAACTACATTCAATTATATTTGATGTGTAATATACATAGATATTCACAATTCTTTATATTAATCCTATGTAATATTGAATTTATTTGAATAAAAATTAAATTTATAATTCAAATAAACTTTCAGATATATAATGAATGAATTAATTATTATTTTAACTATCATTTGAATAAACAAGTAATACAAGTAAACAAAATTGAGAATATCTTCATAATTTTTGAAAGTTTAAAACATTAAAAAGAATTGAATGTAATGATAATAAAAATAAATCACTATAAAGGATATTATGAATTAAAAATAAAAATTCTGAATTTTTTCAATTAAATTTAAGTTGACATTTATATATTATATATTGACCATGTCCTATTTCTGCAGAAAATTATAGTAATGTTTCCAATATCCATTGCCAGACTTCTACTTAACGATCCTCTTTCTTACGAATTCTTTCTTATACCCTTATATCTATATATCTTTCTTATATACCCTTTTCTTTCTTATATTCTTTCGTATATATATATTTTAGAACTCTAACACTTTCGAAATTACAATTCTATAAATTGAAAACTTATTTACTTGAAATACCATTGCTTAAAATTTCCTTATATTTAATTGAAATATATCTTTGAGATGTTATTTCTTTATATAACTAAACTTCCAGAAGAAGAAAAAAAACCTTATATCACTCAAAGGAATAAAAAGTACGTATTTCTACTTATTCTATCTTCAAAAACTTTTCCCTATTTTCCTTAATGTTTTTGATTTGATTATTATCGAGAATTGGTATCAAGATGAGATAATATAAATGATAATATCGTCGACGATCGATTTTACGAGGAAATTCGATATAAACACAATACAAGGATAAATGGAGGGGTTGGAATCATCATCGATAGGGGTGTTTACGTGTCTACGGTGGGGTTTATCGCGCCGTTTATATCGAGGCCTGGCTGTGATCGACAGCCAAGTCCATTAATCAACGCAAACTCGATTAAGAGTCACGAAACGGTTCTCTTTCAACCCTCTGCGATCCTCTTGCACAATCGAAGCCCAAGGGTACGACACGTAAGGATGAAAACGAACGATCATGGCGCAGTGTAATTGAAATCTACAAAATTTGTCGAGGTCGTGTTTCGGGCTGATTCGAATTTATCGATGGAAATTAATTAAGGGATTAATTTCAGTCTAGCAATGGGGGAATGTTCACCAGGCTGCGTAAATATTTATAAAGCTGTTGAAACTTCGATTAATTAAATTAAACGAAGGAATTAAATATTTTATTTAAATATTTAAGTTGTATTTTATAAATACACGATGTAAAAGATACTATAAAAGAAATTCTGAATTAATTTATCGATTTTTATATATTTGCTTTAAAGTTGCGTAATTAGATGACCAATACTTTTTAATATTATTTAATTTTTTGATTTCAATAATTTCTCGATAATAAAATTCTATGTTCGAAATGTAAATCGAGGATAAAGTTTTTGAAGATATTTTTTAAAGAATACTTAAATATACAGATATTAATATGAAAAATTAAACGAAATAGATTGATAGTATTAAAAAAAAAAAATATTTAGAAAAAAGGTAATTACGTTAATGTTTGGCCTTGTACCAAATTGATTTCGATTTGAATTATTCATTGGTAATTATAATTAAAAAAAAAAAAAATGAAATCATATCCTGTTTATGAAATTATGAGAAAATATTGTTAATGAATGACTAGTTCTGCATTGATGAGTTTGCACACACTCCAACGTAATGAGATATAATTCAATTTGCAGAGAGTATTACTTCCCTACGTTGATTAGACGATATTAATTAATCTAAAGTTCAAAAGAAACTTATCTCTTAGATGTTCTTAACGAACTGTAATATCATTTCGATATTTTAAATACAATTTTGATGTAATACGAATATCAGAGAAATTTTGTTTTAACTAATATATTTCTTCAAAAATATCAAAAAACAATGTCTCTTCTCGAACTATAGTGATAAAATAAAGAAGTTTCTTAACAAGAAAAAGGTCAGAAAAAGTCAGAGGTTTATTTCTTAAACAACTTTTCCCACTCGAATTAAGGCGATGAAATAATGATAATTTTTCTAATGATGAGAAAATGAAATAAGAAACTTTCGTAACGAGAAAAAGAGACAATTAGATTCTTTTCGAATATTTCTATTACTAAATAAACACTTTATTAATGTGATAATAGAATAATTGTTAATTAAATAAAAAATTCGAAAAAAGTTTGAAAATTTGATTAGTTTAGAATATCTGTTGTTAAACAACTTTATAATAACAAACTAAATAAACTAGTATAATATAATCTCTTCTGAAACAATTAAAATAATAAATTACGATCCTTGTTTGGAATAATTATATTGATGAAATAATAAAAAAAAAATGAAAAAAAAAAATTGAAAAAAAATCATGATATGATTATTTTAAAATATATATATATATAAATACTAAACTTAATTAATGAAATTTATTTTATCTAATAGAAAAAACTTAAAAATCTGAAATCGATTGTCTTCGATTAATTAATAATAATGAATAATAATAAATAATCTCGAATAATTCCAGGATTAATTTCTTTGGTTCAAAATACAGCTGCACATAGTATATATATAGTTATAGTTATAATAAAGAACCGAAGTTGAGACAAAGATAAGGAAATAGCGGAACGTCCAAGTCGAAATTGCACCATCCAATCTTCGTATAATAGTCACGTTTCGTACTACGTCCTGCCAACGTTTCATAAACAATGAAATTCACCACGTAGTTTGACTGAATATTTGAATAACGAACGAGAGCATGTCAATAAGTTTGATGAGATAAACTGCGACATTCCCAGACAGGGAAACGTGACCACATTCCGGAAATCAATAAGCCGAAGAATAAGCTTAAGAATAACCTAAACAGAAGTAAACGCATAATCAAACCTTTCTAGTTTTGAATTAAAGAATTGGTATAAAGAAAGATGAATCACAACTGCATTTCTATGTTATGTTACACGTTACATTGCACGTTTTAATAATAATAAATAATCTCGAATAATTCCCAGGATTAATTTCTTTGATTCAAAATGCAGATAGCATTGTTAAATAAAGAATCGAGATCGAGACAAAGATAAGAAAATAGCGGCACGTTTTAGGATAATTTTATTCGTAGAGGATTTCAGAAAAATCTCAAACCTCTATTTTAATTAGTTTGGTTTTTTGTTTAAATTATTTGAAATTTCTTTTTAATATTAGAAAATGCCAGAAATAGATTACGAATCAATAAGTACTTACATATTGCAACGAATTATAATATTTCAATATCATTCAACTGTACTTTTCTTTCTGCAAATATTCCTACACTGTGACACTTCTTCAAAAAATAAAACATTCTAATTATAATATCTCGATATCATTCAACTGAAACTTTTCTAAAAAGTTTTATATTAACAACGACACTTGATCAAAAAATAAAACAAAAGTTTAATTATATAATTCTAATTATAAAATCCCAATTTCTACAATTGAAATACACTCCTTTCCTCCCTACAAATATTCCTACAACAAATCGATCAAAAAGAATAAAACAAGAATCATTACTCACCATCCATAGTCATGTTATCCCCTAGCTTCATTTCGATGCTCACTGTTCCGAATGGATCCACGCTGTTCCAGCCGACTTGTCTTCAATCGAGTCTTGCTAGATGGGAATACGAACTATTATTTCTCCGCAATGTCACTTTTTCCTTTCTCCCTCTTTCTCTCTTTCTCTCTTGCCCTTAATATAGATATCCAATTGCTAGGGATCCCTAGACGATCTCCTTTTTCCCCCAACGCGATTTCTTCGCGCTCGTTAGATGAGTGAGTGCCGTGTCGGCGATTACACGCCTGTCTCTTGCCATGGTTAACGTCGTTTCGCGGCAGAATAATCAAATTATCAAACGATTCGACGTTCCACCAGCCTGCTGACACACGGACCAATCGATAAATCGTTAGTTCTTCGAATCTTCGCCATGGACCATGATTCTTCCGCTTCCTGTGAGATCATCGTACTTGTCTAAAGGAAATCGAAATTTCTGATCGATAGACTCGGGTTGGAGCTCGGTTATCCTTCGGGCAAGGCCATTTATCATCGATGTTAGAGGGACTCGCGACTTCTCATCTTGGACCTGTGGACAGAAAAAAAAAAATGTTAGTATCATGAATAATTTTTTAACTGTATACGTATAAATAATGTCTTCGACACGTTATTCGAAGATTTGATCGAGTATTAACTTTTTTTTAATATTATAATTATCAATATATTATATAATCAGTTATTAGAAAGTATGCCTGGTATTCCAGAATATATGAAAATTTTCCTGAAGATATATGTTCCTTATGAACTTTCTAGCTGATTTTAATGGAGTATCTGAACTTTAGTAATTAACATGATAATGGTAATATATTTAAAAAAAAATATTTATATAGAGAACATCTATTTTCAAAACTTCTTCACGTTGTATCACAAGCGAAAGAGCTTTAGACTATTTGTCTAATAGGTTCCAACAAAAACCTTGAATCAAATATTTAAATTAATTATTCATAATAAAATAAAATAATAAATAAGTTTATTTTAAAAAAATTCTAAAATCTTATTAAAGAAACGCATTAAATAATTTATTATTTTAATACCTGATCCTTTCCAAACAAAATAACTTCTAATAAAGTTCTTGCTGATCGATCATTAATTAAAACAGAAATTTCAGAAATTTTATTTAAAAAAGAAACACCGAAATCAGTAAATACTAATCACTTTGAATAATCAATCGAACCCTTTAGAGGATTCGTTGAAAATTAATCTCGATCCATCGAGCGCGTATAGCATCGTTCTTTATTCATCTCTGGCCGACGAATATCCGGGAAACTGGGCCACAGAAACTCAATGGTCCTTCAATTCGGCCAAAGGACACGGCAATCCGTTGTGTTCCAAAGGGACTTAGTATACTTAATTCACAATGTTCACAATGACCTAAATATGTTTAGGTTTACGTCACACGTGACGCACATATGATTTCTAACACCTTCAACCGTGTGCATCGTGACGTACGTAATGTTGATTGACAAGGATCGATGTAGCTATTATTATTACACATCGTCTTTGATGCTTTTACGTCGAAACGAATGTTCATGGTAAAAATATTGGGATTTTAGATGCGGATAGTTAATGTGAAAAATTTAAGGAAAATGGTTATAAAGAATCTATAGAAATTCGAACTATTTGATTAGATATGATTACGTTGTAATTTTATGAAGTTTTGATATCGAAATTTTGAGTATCGATATTTTGAGAATGAGTTATACAAAAAGATAGAATACAGGAAGATTATAAAGTTTTTGACATATTAACACATAATTTTACATAATTCTTCATATTAAATAGAAAGTATCTTTGTTAATATAAACAAATTTTATATAATATTATCATAAGAATAAAAAAATCTATAAACTATCATTATAATGTTACACAAGTTTATTATAGTGGTATCTAAAAATAACATTGATTAAATCAATGTTACAAGAAAGAAACATAAATCCATTTTATTTTATATTAATTATTTAATAATTATTATATTATCTTGAAATTTGAAATAATATTTTTTCCTAAAAATCATCATTGCTTCATTTTTCATCGAATATTAAAAAATACTCTAATAGTAAAAAAAAAAAAAAAGAGAAAAGAATGTTAATAAAATTTTTAATATTCTATATATATTTAAATGAAAAAAAATCTATGAATGTATTGCATAAAACTGAAAAAACTTTTCTAAATCATAAAATAAACTCTTATAAACAAAGTATCTAACGTGCCCTACGCCCCGTTCAAAGGCTAAGTATTTATTATTTCCGGCTATAAATCTGTTCCCAGTAAGTGTTCCTGAGCACAAGATGACTAGAAATATAAATTTTTATTTTTATTTATTCCTTCATTTAACAAAGAGAATTTTAGTCAAACATTTACAAGACATAATTGAAAGAAATACATTTCGGAAGATTGAAAATTTTATATCATAAAGTTGAGAAATTAATGGAAGGTGAAATACAAAAACAGTTTGAAAAAATTCTTAATTTTTTAAAATATCATTATCGATTAATGTTTCAAATTATTCGATATTATTTTCGATATTATTTTTTATCTTTATCAGTAAATAACTTCAACTTATTATTAAAATAAAAATTATGTAAATTACTATATTATTGTTTGCTTTATCCCATAAAATATGGGAAAAGTATTTAGTTTACCGAAGTTTATTTGAAAATTTCTTTTTATTCCATTATGAAAATTAGATTAATCGAAATTTAAAAAATCGAAAGAAAATTCTAATATTTCGTGAAGAAAGAGTATTGCGTCTTTTCTCCTTTTTTAGAACGTCGTCTGTAAAGTGATAAATATGTTGAGTCCTTAGCAGACGGTAAAAATGTTATATGACTCCGCCTTTCAAAAATGGCACAGCAAAAGGGAACAGCGCGATATCGTATCACATAAAATTCATAGATACGTTGAAATTTATTCGATACTTGAAATTCTTGAACACATACTTCGTATCCTGACCTAATTCCATTTTCGAGATAATTCTCTTTTTTTTATTTTATTTTTTTGTATTTTGATAAAGAGAGCAATGAAACAATCTATGTCTTGAAGACAAAAGAAACGTAAAAACGTAAGATTTAAGACGCAAAAGATGTAATAAAATAAAAAAAAAATTACAAAGATAATAAGTATAACATTTAAAAAAATAAGAATAAAAAGAATAAGAGAAAATCGTGTAAGAAAAGTTCCATAGATTTTTCGTTAAATAATCACCAATTAAAACGAAATTCATTAAATTCTCGGTATAGGTTCAAAATGACCTATATTGGATCACGTTAATTAAGTCAATATTTATTTTTGATCGATCTCGATAATACAAATCATCATTCTCTGCCAATCCCTTCATAGAAATTAATCTGATCTTAAACTCTATGTAGAAAATTCTAATTTGAAACAAAAAATAAACTTCAATACAAATTTTTGTCATATTAATATTATATTTGACATACAAAATTTATAAAATAAATAAATGCATCTATTTAAAAACATACTTTGTAATTTATATTGTTTCATATTTAATAATAACTTTTACATAAGTAATTTTAAATCAAGTAACGGTATAAAATATCAATCATTCCTTATCCTGAATCATAATCTGTGATGCTAAGGTTTATTACTATGCATTCCTTTTTGTAAAGAAATTTACATTTATCTTGTTTTGTAGAAAAACTAAATGAACTCGAACAATCAAAAGTTTTTTATCTTTGACAAGATTCTTACAAAAACGCCTTACATAAGGAAACTTTGCATAAAGTCAAATATAACACACATAAAATTAAAACTTAAATATTGTATATTCTCATTAGAATTGCATTTTTAAAAAGAATAAAATAAAAATATATATAATCAAAACGAGACTCTATAATTGTAATATTAACATGAATAAAAATACTGAATTGTTGTAATAAATGAATTCGAATTACTTTAATAACAATATCCAGGTTCGTGCAATAGTCGTCAAAAGTTTGAAATATCGAGTCTCATATCGTGAGCAGAGAACGAATAAAAGTCAACAGGAAGAGTTATATTAGAATTCTTGTGTCGTTCATATTTAAGAGACTTCTAGAAAAACTAGTGCAAGTGGACAAAAACTTCCAGTTTGATAAAGTTTCGCGGGAGCTCAGTTCACGTTTTTACTCGGAATGCCATCCCTCAGGATTAAGTTTCGAGGTAAAATCACTCTACACAAGTTTAGCAGGCTGCATCAGCAGCGCCCTCTATCCGGTTCGACCATCTTGCATTATGTACCATCTGGTATTCCAACACACTTTTCGTATTCTGCAGACGTACCAAGCTGCTCGTAAATTCAGATCAGCTCCCGTTAAATAACCAAGAGACTTAAGATAGCTTCCTAAGTCGCGTTGCGTTTTGTGCGTCAAGAGATACCACATTTGATTGCGAGTGAGAGTTTGATGGCGCCAGGATCGCTGATAAAATGACCTACATCTAATCCTAGATCAACATGATTTGAGTATTTATTCGAAGGCTCGTCAAACGAATGAGTGAAAAGATATTTTGAAAAGTATTCGAAAATTTGTAAATTGTACAATAATTAAGAAAATTTGAAAGTTTTTATTACAGCAATAAGGAAATGTGTTATAATAATTGTTTCAATGGATATTTTTAAACACGATGATAATTTGGGGATTTATTCAATGATTTGTTGAATGATTATAGTAAATAGTGATTATTGATTAATTTTAATTGAGAGAATTTGTAATCTTAATTAAAATTTTAATCTTTACATCTGATAGTGATTTTGGAATTTATTCGAAGATTTTTTGAATATTATAATATAGTCTGAAATCTTGATTGTAGAGGGGATTTGAAAATAAAGAATAGGATTAAGTAAATTAAATTTTAGTTAAGAAAATTAAAAACTTTTGTAAAACGATAAAAGATGCAATAATAGTGAAAAATTGTAATTTAATACGAATAAAAAATACAAGAAATAAAATAAAAAAAATTAGGAATAGCGATTATGAACTTTAAATTGGATATTTTCCTTTCTAAATATTTACCATTCGTAAATATTTAATCCATAGAATCATATTTCAATATTTAATGTAATTTTTATTCTGTACCATATTCTGAATAATATGTATCTATTTATTTTCATCAAGATACTTTAATTCTAGATAGATTAACTCTAGTTAAAGATATGGAAAAAATTTTCTTTAAAATTTATATACGTGTTTAAATTTAAGAAGTTAATAAGATTTGCCATTGCTAATTCTGCACTCTCTTATGAGAAACAATATTAATATGGAACAAATAATAACGTATTCCAAATGTAATGTATTGGAAAATTCCTGCGTTCATCCAATATCAACTAATATTTTGAAACATATATAATATATTTTGAATTAATTAATTTTTGCAGTGAGCATATTAAAGTAAGCAAAATGATTATTACAGTTGATTTGAAAATTACACGTACATTATATTATCATAAAATGACACGATTATTTAAATATGTAAATGCATTTAATTTAAATAAAATTTTTAAATAAATTCCAATAAATGTGAATACTTTTC